ACCACCAGAATCTGTAATGCAACTTTGAATGTATATAATAGCATTTCACACTGAGAGATAATTCTTCAAGATTTTGTTTTAATGTTTGTGTGATGAAAATGCAATATATCTTATTTATAGCTTGGGGCATATTTTTAGTAATTTAATTGTTTTTTGTCAGGTGAAAGCATTAGAATAGCTTACCAATTCTAGAGAATAAAGGCTAGAATTTTCTTGTTCATTTCTGGGGGAATACATTATGTTTTAATTTGTCAGTCGTCATGTGGAATCTAATGTACAAATCTGGTGTTTATAAAGGAACAAAACGCACCCGCCAGCTTCTTTCGTTAAAATATGGGGAAAATGGACTCAGAGCTGCTATAGAATACAGCCATTTAATCAACTTGAAGATAATCCCCCTGACAGGCGTGCTTTCAGCTCCCTGTTATTATGTCTATGGAGAATACCTTGAGCTTTGGCTGGCTCTAAGCGTGTGACAGGTAATTGAAAAGACACATATTTTGTATGGATTAGGTCATGATTGGTGCCTGTAAAGGTATTGTAGTGGTCCAGAGGGATACTGTTTATGACAAGGATCCGCAAAGGATCGGAGATAGAGTGTGGTACGGGAACACATCCATCACATTTGTCATATGGTCCCGGAGATCTGATGTTACCTGTGTTTCTTCAGCACAATGTCATCTTTATTTTCTCACAGTATTTGATACTGGTAACGCCGATGTGTCATTATGTAGATGAATGTTTCACATCAAAGGATATGAATTAATTACAAAAACATGCAGGAAATTAAAAGAAATAAAGAACACTGGCTTTTCTCACATACAGCGTGGTTGATTTATCAATAATTATGCTCTTTTGATATTCTAATATCATAATGCAGTACGATTTATCCGACGTTAATTTCCCTTGTCCGTTAACCTAGCAGGTATGTGAAATTAAATGGCAAACACATTCCATTGTGTTCTCAAGATATGGCCACACACTATTGTGATGAGACTTGTGAAAGCTTTTTGTTTTTTATTTATATTGGTTCATCAGCAAACCCTCTGTAACGAAGTTAATTAGTTTTAATTTGAAGAAAATCCAAAAAGATATTTCTTTTCAGATTATACTTAATGACAACTGTTGTTTAAACAAAAAATATTTCTTTTCAGATTATACTTAATGACAACTGTTGTTTAAACAAAAAAATATTTCTTTTCAGATTATACTTAATGACAACTGTTGTTTAAACAAAAAAATATTTCTTTTCAGATTATACTTAATGACAACTGTTGTTTAAACAAAAAAATATTTCTTTTCAGATTATACTTAATGACAACTGTTGTTTAAACAAAAAAATATTTCTTTTCAGATTATACTTAATGACAACTGTTGTTTACAATTTTGTGATTAGGATAGTTTTTAGTAAAAGTTTGCAGTCAGAATTGAAAATTATTTCTTTGCACTGTAGGATCTATTTTCCCATAAAGTTTGTTCAGTACATTTCAGTATTTGAAATTTTGAGTTTTTCTATAGAAAAGAAGAAGAAATAAAACTAAAACTATATTTTCCCATTTGTGTTCAAAGAGGATGTTTTTCATTAACATCCATTTTGTTTATTGGTGTACTGGGCGAGATGAAAGTGTTTTATCATTTGAAATATTTTTCCTATTTCACACTAGTAATTAAAAATCTCAAAGAAAGACAATTATCATATTGCAATTGTTTTCAATTATTTTGATGAAATATCTGCACGAAGGTTCAGTTAGATAATCAGTTTCTTCACCTTTGAGTTAATCAACTCCCTTTCGTACATAGAGCATTGGGTGATGATGTGAAACTTAATTTATATTTCATGCTGATTAATGTTGGTGACTGATGGTGATTCAGGCAAGAGCTTGCTAATTAACGTATCAAAAAATCAAGGGGCAAGTAACTCTGGAAATTGATGCTGAATGATGTATAACATGTCGAACTCCTTTTCATGTGTTGCTGGCAAGATATTGTTTTAATATGAAAATTGTGGTGACTGAATATTCCTTCTGTTTAACCAATAACTTTGGATGGCAGTAGGTTATTTGGAATTGATCAGTAGAACATTCAGTAATAGTTAGACTTGCAGGTTCTATTCCCAACAGAAACATGTAAGTCAGGTACAAAAGTGAAACTACTCCTACCTACACACAGGTACATGAAAGAGATTCAAAATCGGTTTTGTCCCAATTCTGTGTACAAAATCACTTTTGGCCAGTACCTTGTACCAATTCATTTTTGTCCCCATTCCTTGTGCAAAATTGCTTTAGTCCCAGTTATAAATACAAATCACTTTTGTCCCTGTTACTAGAGTAGAAATGCTTTTGTCCCTGTTACTAGAGTAGAAATGCTTTTGTCCCTGTTACTAGAGCAGAAATGCTTTTGTCCCTGTTACTAGAGCAGAATTGCTTTTGTACCAGTTGTGAATACAAAATCGCTTTTGTCCCTGTTACTAGAGCAGAAATGCTTTTGTCCCTGTTACTAGAGCAGAAATGCTTTTGTCCCTGTTACTAGAGCAGAATTGCTTTTGTACCAGTTGTGAATACAAAATCGCTTTTGTCCCTGTTACTAGAGTAGAAATGCTTTTGTCCCTGTTACTAGAGTAGAAATGCTTTTGTCCCTGTTACTAGAGTAGAAATGCTTTTGTCCCTGTTACTAGAGCAGAATTGCTTTTGTACCAGTTGTGAATACAAAATCGCTTTTGTCCTGATTCTATGCATAAATTCATTTTTGTCCCACTTCTTTGTACAAATTCATTTTTGTCCCAGTATACCTTTTGTCCCTGATAGGAGAATTGCTTTTGTCCCTGTTACTAGTTGCTGTGTGTCTGTGATACAAGAACTGTACAAATCTATTTTGTCCCAGTCCTGTGTGTCTGTGATAGAACTGTACAAATCTATTTTGTCTCAGTCCTGTGTGTCTGTGATAGAACTGTACAAATCTATTTTGTCCCAGTCCTGTGTGTCTGTGATAGAACTGTACAAATCTATTTTGTCCAAGTCCTGTGTGTCTGTGATAGAATTGTACAAATCTATTTTGTCCCAGTCCTGTGTGTCTGTGATAGAACTGTACAAATCTATTTTGTCCCAGTCCTGTGTGTCTGTGATAGAACTGTACAAATCTATTTTGTCCCAGTCCTGTGTGTCTGTGATAGAACTGTACAAATCTATTTTGTCCCAGTCCTGTGTGTCTGTGATAGGACTGTATTTCCTGCAGTTCTGTGTATTTTTCGTCTTATAGACATACAGTAACAATTACCCAATCAGGCATCACGCCTCCAAATATTTGTTTGATATGGGCCCAGTCAAACCTGGATACAGCGACCTCATTCCTTCCATCAATCACTGACATGCTCTGTAGGACACTACAGGGTTTACCTCCTCAGGTATTCCTATAGACTGGTGTGCTGTATGGAAGTAGAAAATGAATCTTAAGTTGTGTTCAGCTTTCTCTGATTAAAAACAACTTTCATGCATGTCAAGTTTTGAAGGGTTGGTATTATAGAGCTGTGGAGTCTCGGGGTCAAAGGTAACTCAAGAAGCAGATGTGGAATAGCATAATGTATATGTTTAAGATGAATTTATGAGGAAATACTTGTAAAATGCTTGTAAAATCTTCTTCAGGTGCACACAACTCCTTTCCAGAGTGATTACACGAATTGACGTCTTAATTTCATGAAATTTATTCCTATTTGGACAGTTGAATGTACAAATTGAGAGATCTTGAAACGCGGAGTTTGTACGTGATATGTAATTACGTTTAAGTTTTAATTATGAGTATTTGTTGGTGTCACAGAGGACTTTCTGCTTCAGTACATGTGTTTTGAGGTATAGCCATACTCTCTCTATACATCAACGGTTATTTTTGTAAGAACTAATTTTTGTTACTGGCTTAGTTTATTAAAAATCTCATGCTAACACAATGTCCATATCATTCATAGGCTAAAACTATACTAGTTTTAAAGTCGTGAGAAAGTTATACAGGAATTAACTTTATTTGACAACAATCACTTATTTCAACTTACATTAATGACTTGTTGGCCTAGATGGAAATAAGCAAGAGGCCTTATTGTAGGAGGAAACCAGGGTACCCAAAGGAAACCCAGATAGTGAGGCAGGTGACTTTATACCTTTTAATGTCCATTTGGGCAATCAAACATCGGACATCTTAGTGAAAGGTGAATGTGTTGCCACTAAGTCACCTGATCACCTGCCCACATAAGTTATAAGATTATTTGTACAGCAGATTTACACTGAAATCTTGTTTCATCAAGATTTTAATGAATTGTAACTACGATTTAGTTACATATGTTAATCCCAAGGGGAGGTGGGGAATGTGTGGTGTGTGAGGGGAGTGGGGTTAGGACGTATATTTTTGGTATGTATCCGTTTTAATTCTTTATTTCTTCCACTTGTAATCTTACTGTTATATCTGTATATTTATCTATCTTACTATCAAAACCATTTTTATTGTTTACTTCATTTGTCAATCAAAGATAAGGTGAATTTTCTTATCATTGGAGCAATCATTTTCATTTAAATTGACATGATATGCGGCATAATGATGACCAACAAAGCATGTTAACTGTTAATTTTGTGTGATATAAATTTGACATATTTATAAAATGAAATTTTCACATGTTCATTTTCAAACTTATGTTACAGTAGATGATGTGTTTTTGTGTTTTACTAAATTCATTATTTTGCATATTAAAGAAAATGTTATGAAATACTTGTAAAATATGCATTCTACTGACCTGTTGATGTGAGACATGTTGTAAGAAGTGTTTCAGTAGGATATGCATTGTGATGTCCAGTCTTGAATCATTCTGATTTGAGTCAAGTTGTGATGCAAGACTCATTTGGAGTTGAGTCCAGTTTTAATGTGAGACAGGTCCTGATGTTAGCCACTGACCTGATCTGAGACTTGTCCTGATATGAGTTGCGTTCTGATGCGAGACACATCCTAATTTTTTTCTGTTACAGGTTGTGATACAGTCGGGCCAGCCACCAACAATTCTACAACAGATGTGTTCATTGCCATTTCAATATTTTTCCGACCCACGACTCACCAATGTCCTGTTCCCAACTCTCATCTCATCTTGTTACAACAATCAGTCTAATCGCCAGATTTTGGAGCAGGAACTTAGCTGTATGCTTCTGTCCAACTTTCTAGAGGTATGTACTTATTTACTGGTGTACCTAAGTAAACAGTGTCGTCAGCGATGTGTGTGTGAGTTCAACAATGTAACAAAAGCAACATGCTTCTGAACAGATCTTCTGTAGAAATATCAGGATTCTGTCCTTATTTGGTCTGAAGCATACTTGGGTGAAGGGGAATCAGTTTTGTATACAAAACTATGTATATATGTGTAGATCTCCGCCCTCTAGGGCGGGGCTAAATAGTGGAAATAGAGGAAATTCTCTGAAATTATTCTTTTTTGGGAATATTTTCTCTCCCAATTTCGTCTGAAGCATACCTAGTTGGAAGGAACCTAATTTGTATCAGCTAGGATTCTGACATTAGAGATGTAGGGACCAATAAAGAAAATGTAAGTTCTTAAAAATCCTTCTTCGTACAAGAATATTGTCCAAGTTTGGTCTGAAGCTATTTTTATGAATGATGATTCTGACTTCTTTTCAACCACAAAGCTGTAACTCAATATGGATATTTTTTCAGAAATTATTTGTCATATTTGAAATTCTTTGTTAAAAGACTGCATATCTGAATTAACCAGAATATCTGGACTTTTTTAATATTATTGAATGCTGCCAGGAAATAACTATTACCTTGAAGAATCATCCAACCACTATTGCCTATGATTTGATGTTTTGTTTGCGGATGTGGGAAAATTGTCATCAGTAAATAGGACTGATCATGCTCATGTCAATAGATCAGTAGATAAGTCGGAACACAGGTGTAATTACGTAGCTTCACACCTGAATATTTAATAGAGAAAATATCATAACATCATCATGGAATGGTGGCTGAGTTTGTTCTGCTGGTTGATGGCCCACAGATTAGTTATTTGTTGCGATATCTCATCTATTAGCTACATTGCTAGTTTAACACATTAAAGTTTGATTCGTTTTCTAAACATTCGTTACAAAGTGGTTCTGTGTTTTTGTTTAGTGGGCAGCCTTTCTTAAACCATACATGACCATTACAGAATGTTTCAGCTTTGGTTCTGAACCATACATTATAGATACTTGATATAATTATATATCAGATAGTGTCATACTCCTCACATGCGTGAGATAGCTGCAAGCATCTAGGGTATCATTAAGTATATTGATTCAACTTTATAACTGTCATGACCCTGGAATTGTAGATGTGTCCAGGCCAAGGGGTTAAATTTGGTTCATGGACCATGCTCATGTGTTTTTGCGTGCATTCGTGATAACCTTGTGTACAAATTATTTCACGAACCCCGCAACAGATTTGGTTCTTATTCACATCCAAGCATCGCTCAATCAAGGTCTTTACCTTATTAGATTTTGGTGTTTAATGGTCAAGGTTAAGGTCAGAAGTCACCTTGACCACTTTTGGAATGAAAAGGCATGACAGCTCATGAATCCCTTGACAGAGAGTAAACACATAAACACGTGATGACAATAACCATTTAGATTAAAAGATATATTTTTATCCGGTTCAGTATTTGTAGTTTTCTAAAAAATCACTTTTTCATGGACATTTAATTTCATGGATGAATACAGCTCAATAAATGTCTGTAAAGTAAATATCGGCTCAGACATATGAACTCATTGATTAGAATTACCCATATCAATGACAATAGATCCTCCAAAGAAAATGAATGACAAATATTTCCAGATCCAGCGATGGGGATATATCTGTAGGAGCCTCTGCTCACTTTAATTTTCAACTATTTAAGCATATAGCTTGAATGGGATATTTTTAGATACAAAAACTGATGTTTGATAACATTAACTTATTGTAACATTTTCTACAAATCAATCAATGACTGGTTTAACGTCTTTAAAATGCCATCTTGACCATAGCTTAGCTGTTAAATTGGTAAATAAGTTAAATGGAAGCAGCAGTGCTCAAGGTCCTCGTCAAAGTCAAGGTGGACTTATTGCAGAACAGTGGTAGAGACGAGTGGAGAAGACGGAATTCATTGATGTTTAAAGTTGTAATGTATTCACTGTTTTTACCCAGCATAAAGGTAAAGAAAAGCCAACTGACCGTCTCCTTGGTGATGAAGTTTAATCAATGATGAGAAGATAATTAAGATAATTAATAATTAAGATAAATTTCAGCTTGCAAATGTTTTTAATTCTTCTACAGAAATTCTGAGATGGCCTTATGAGAAGAAATTCCATTTTTTTTGTATAGTTCAGACAACAAAATTCATAAAAAGAATAAGTGACAGGTACCAACCCCACATAATGGGCCTTTATGGCTTTCAGGAGGGACAATATATATGCATTAGCATACTGTTCTAGTTTTACACTAATAAATAGTAAACACAATTATTCATCATTGATTGCATATGTGTAAATGTTTGTTAAACAGTTCATATTTTCAGATAAATGAAACAACAAATGTTTCACTGGAATGACATTATTGATATCACAACAATATATTAAAAAATCAGAATAGCCTTCTTTTAGTTAGTCGTACAAGAATCGACCAACTCGTCTTCCTCTGGGTATTGTCACCACCCCCTCAAGTGTTTGCTCGCTACCCAGCACTCATCACTATTGTTAGGACAATTCATTAGCAGGTTCCAAGTTCTATTGTGCGGTTCTACTTTAAAAAACAAACGGTGTCATTTTCATTCAGTGACTACAGTCTATTTTTTAAAAGGGTTCTGTTGATTTATAGGTAATTCTACGATTTTATGCAAGTCGCATGGTGGGTTTGTTTATTGGTACCGACTGCTACAGGGATTCTACCTCTGTTTGTTTACTTGAGTCATTGAAACTATCTCTAAACATATGTAACTTGAAACTTGGCTCAGAACAAATACCTTTGTGTCGGTATGGAAATCTGCTGTGTATTTGGTACCTGAATAGGAAGAGATCAATGCATCGACAATCGTCAACTCCCAGAGGAAAAGGGAGACAATAAGCGAACTTCCTGTTGAATCTGTTGGTCTGGTCAATTGTTTAACAAGTCAGAGTGTAAACACTCCAACCAGCTTCCCTTTGTCTACTTTATAATTACTACCAAACACTGATTAATGAAATGACAATGTACATGGGATGAATTTCTTGTTAGCATTGGTCCCAGACTCCCAACATCTCAAACCGGACCGCTGTGTTACACAGTTTTAGTATGAAATTGATCAGTTGGTATTTATCTTTCGCCTTTGAAGAGTTCCGACTCATACCCGTAGACAAACATTGAAATAACAATGGCTTTTACATTCAAAATTCACTCCTGTATATTGAGGTTTGATAGTTTGAAATATTTTTCAATATGGGAAAAAATTCTAATTGTGTCAAATTCATGAAGTGTTATCCTGGTATTAAAGTGAGTCCTGCATTTTGAGAAATACTGGTCCCTTTAAGAATAGTGTGTTATGATTGTTAGCTTCTTCATACAGTTAATTGATTTCATCTTATCTGGATTTTCTCTTTAAAAGGGAGTAAAAATTTAATAGGGAAAGTTTTATAAGGATATACTAATTGTGTGGATATTTTTCTTTTTGATTTGAAAATTTAGGGGATAGGATATTTTGATCAACATTTTTTTTCTGAACATAGTAAATGTTATCTTTTTTCTTCCCAAATCATTTGTTTTTTTCAAATGCATTAACACCCAGCATAACTATTGGACTTGATTTGTATACGTAAGTGACTTGATTAAACCACATGTTCTGACTGTGAGAAACCTGTGGTAGTTTGGTGATGTTCCGGTGTGTTTGTGATAGTCAAGCCTGCCGTGCTTACGATTACAAAGCACAGCTCAACTCCATATCATGTATGTCAGCTCTGTGAAGGAAAGATTACAGCACTGGTTAAGTAATTCTGGGTAATTATGTAAGTGCTAAGTCCGGCCCTTGAAGGGCACTTGTATCCACCCTGCCTGTCAACCATACACCCCCTCACCAATCTAGTCCTGGCACTTGTGCCGTTTTCAGGCATCTTGAGATGAAGTGCTGTAATTAACGTGTCAGGATTGCTCCGACATTTTGTGAATGTTGTATTTTGGTTTTGAATTTTATAACTTCTAAAGGTGCAACTAGCTTGCATGTTCCATACTCTATATGTAAATTGTGACCGTTTGAAAAAAAAAAACTTTGTCATACTTTTCCATAACGCCACATCTCCTGGTTTTCTTCACTCTGAGGTCAAAGCTGTACACATGTGCAATTCTCATTTTAAGTTTCATCTGGTTTTATAACATTGTTTTAATCTTTAGGACCACAGCTTTTTTTTTCTTATGTCTGTAAAATTGTTTTCGCTGTGCAATAAATTTACTTCTGCCAGTTGATAGTTTGCTTTATGAATATACAGTGTAAATTTTGAAGGTTTTGGCCCCTCGTTTACCCTGCGTAAATGGTCTTGTATTTGGATATGACAAAGAAAGGGTTTGAAAAAGTGAAAGGCAGATGATTTTCTTAAGTTTTTGCTGTTCTCATAAAGATATGTATTTTATGATGAAACAACTTGCTTAATCGGTATAAAATGTCCGCCTTTAAAGTTTCATGTTGAGACTATGTACTCTAACAAGAGCGGTCTGAAATTTCCCAAGGAAAACATCAATAAGCATTGAGAAGTAAATTTCACAGTTACTCAAGCCATGATTGATTATATCTGATAGAATGGTCAATTGTTTCTAATCTTTCCTTGTTTCTTTGTATTTTACAGGAGAAACAGCTGGAAGTCCAGCAGGCAAAACTTCATCCGTCAAAGAAAGGTAAATTATCAAAAGACATCAGTCTAGATTTTTATGTACTTCCTGTGCAAACCTACAGGCGTTTCCTTATCAGAAGAGTTTTTCTCAAGGTAGAAAGATTAGTGCCAACCAAGGTAACAAGACATTGGTTAATCCATTAATGTATAAAATACTTTAAACTATTACAGGCCTATTCTGTTAGTTTCACAGAATGTCAGATAAAATATTATATATTTGTTGTTATCCTGGAATATGTTTTCTAATTTTTATTTTTCCTTTTTTGTTTTTTTGATTTTTATAGATCATCAAATGAATTTTGTAATTGTAATGTTATGCATATCTTGTTGATTATAAATCACATTGAGATTTTCTCTGGTTAAGTTGACAAGTAGATAAACTCCCCATAGCAAGGATCTAGACAACCTGTATGACCATTTCCTGGTTTTCTCTCCGTGTCACAATAGCCGAGTGTCACCCGACTTGACTTTTCAGCTCTAATCCCCTACACTTCTGTTATTGTTCTTGAATTACCATTCATTGTAATTTATTGACCTCAAGAGAGCCAGTGAAGATGGAAGTTTAAGACAAAGTGACGGTTGACAATGTCCTCCATCGTACTTCATGACGAACGAAAGTGTCATTAATCTGGTCTAATCCTCTCTGTCTGTCAGAGGTTGGAGGGTCCCACTGGCCACACCATGAGTGGTCGTTAAGATCACAGGTAAACACAGGTAGATGACAGGCGAGAGAGTGTAGAGGGTTACCTAAAGCGGTCAACAACGTGGCACCTGTCATAGGGTCTATAGTGACAAGGGTGAGGGGATAGGGCTAGCATAGTAGCAGGTTAAGACTGTAAAGTTACATGTTAATGGTGTGAGAAATAAAGGTAGGACTTTGAGAATTACAGGTAGAGGCCTGTATCATTACTTAAGTTAGGAAAGTTGTACAGAGTAAGGCTTCAAAAATCACGGACATGTTGTAGTTTCAATAGTTACAGGTCAGGACAATTAAAGATTTAGTCTAAAGCTGTGACATGTAGTTTCAACAGTTACAGGTGATGGCAATCAGAGCTGAAGTCTAAAGCTGTGACATGTAGTTTCAACAGTTACAGGTGATGGCAATCAGAGCTGAAGTCTAAAGCTGTGACATGTAGTTTCAACAGTTACAGGTGATGGCAATCAGAGCTGAAGTCTAAAGCTGTGACATGTAGTTTCAACAGTTACAGGTGATGGCAATCAGAGCTGAAGTCTAAAGCTGTGACATGTAGTTTCAACAGTTACAGGTGATGGCAATCAGAGCTGAAGTCTAAAGCTGTGACATGTAGTTTCAATAGTTACAGGTCAGGACAATTAAAGATTTAGTCTAAAGCTGTGACATGTAGTTTCAACAGTTACAGGTGATGGCAATCAGAGCTGAAGTCTAAAGCTGTGACATGTAGTTTCAACAGTTACAGGTGATGGCAATCAGAGCTGAAGTCTAAAGCTGTGACATGTAGTTTCAACAGTTACAGGTGATGGCAATCAGAGCTGAAGTCTAAAGCTGTGACATGTAGTTTCAACAGTTACAGGTGATGGCAATCAGAGCTGAAGTCTAAAGCTGTAATATGTTGTTTCAACAGTTACAGTTGATGGCAATCAGAGCTGAAGTCTAAAGCTGTGACATGTAGTTTCAACAGTTACAGGTGATGGCAATCAGAGCTGAAGTCTAAAGCTGTGACATGTAGTTTCAACAGTTACAGGTGATGGCAATCAGAGCTGAAGTCTAAAGCTGTAATATGTTGTTTCAACAGTTACAGGTGATGGCAATCAGAGCTGAAGTCTAAAGCTGTGACATGTAGTTTCAACAGTTACAGGTGATGGCAATCAGAGCTGAAGTCTAAAGCTGTAATATGTTGTTTCAACAGTTACAGGTGATGGCAATCAGAGCTGAAGTCTAAAGCTGTGACATGTAGTTTCAACAGTTACAGGTGATGGCAATCAGAGCTGAAGTCTAAAGCTGTAATATGTTGTTTCAACAGTTACAGGTGATGGCAATCAGAGCTGAAGTCTAAAGCTGTGACATGTAGTTTCAACAGTTACAGGTGATGGCAATCAGAGCTGAAGTCTAAAGCTGTGACATGTAGTTTCAACAGTTACAGGTGATGGCAATCAGAGCTGAAGTCTAAAGCTGTAACATGTTGTTTCAACAGTTACAGGTGATGGCAATCAGAGCTGAAGTCTAAAGCTGTGACATGTAGTTTCAACAGTTACAGGTGATGGCAATCAGAGCTGAAGTCTAAAGCTGTGACATGTAGTTTCAAGATATGATACCAATATGTAAAAGTTTAATGCAGGTTATAGTAAGTGAAGTTATATGTTAGAGCTGGTGAAAATACAGGTTAGAGCTAAAGGAATTACGGATTATAGCTGGAGGAGTGTCAGATTATAACTGATGAGGTTCAGGTCAGAGCTGGTGGAATTACAGATTAGACCTGGTGGTGTTACAGGTTAGGCCTGGTGGTGTTACAGGTTAGGCATGGTGGAATTATAGGTTAGGCCTGGTGGTGTTACAGGTTAGGCATGGTGGAATTATAGGTTAGGCTTGGTGGAATTACAGGTTAGGCTTGGTGGAATTACAGGTTAGACCTGGTGGTGTTACAGGTTAGGCCTGGTGGTGTTACAGGTTAGGCCTGGTGGAATTACAGGTTAGGTCTGGTGGTGTTACAGGTTAGGCCTTGTGGAATTATAGTTAGGCTTGGTGGAATTACAGGTTAGACCTGGTGGTGTTACAGGTTAGGCCTGGTGGTGTTACAGGTTAGGCCTGGTGGACCTACAGGTTAGGTCTGGTGGTGTTACAGGTTAGGCCTGGTGGAATTATAGTTAGGCTTGGTGGAATTACAGGTTAGACATGATGGACCTACAGGTTAGGCCTGGTGGACCTACAGGTTAGGCCTGGAGGATGACTGAAAATCATCAAATCCCACCCTCTATAATTCATTAGCTGTACTTAATTGATTTTATATCAGAGCCTGAAACAGAAATTTCCTTGTGATATTTTCATGAAGTATGTGCTTTATAAGCCCAATCTACTTCTCATCAATTTCAGAAAAAGAGAAAACAAAAGATTTGGAGCAACCTAGAATGCAATCAGCCTCAAGATTTCCTATGGAACAGTGGATGGCAGCACAGGAATACTTTAAGATATCATAACCAAGGATTCCCAACAATTACAGGGTTCTTTGTTATCCCTCATTTGAAATTCATCACAGAGTCCTCCCATCAGCATAGAAACCTTGGGTTAACTTGTTGGCAGAAAAAAGACAATGGCAGGGGTATAGCTGATATCACCTAGTACATAGAATAAAGTTTTGTCTTGACGTAATGTTCATCAGGTTTAATGATAGACATGGAACACGTGCAAATAGTGGGGTTGTACATTGTATAATGAAGCCTTCAGTCATTTCTGTGTAATCATCTCGGCGGAGTTTCTTTATTTATACATCTACTCCTCAACACCTCAGATAATTACATCTATGTCATTAATGTGAAAAAAACAGCAAGTGAAAATTTCTTATTGTTAATATTTCCTTGTTTTATCAGAAATATCATCAAGAAGATAATAAGTAGAGGCGTGTGGAACACCAGTAAGGATGTTACAGAATTTCTCGTTAACGATCGGCAAATCTTTCTTTAATTAATAATTATACAGATGAAAGAAAAAAAAAGATGTTTCATTCATGTGGGGAATTGAAGTTATTATGATAGTCACACATAACTTTGATATATGTATTTAGTTACAAAATAATTTTCTTTGTCTGAGCAAACATAGAAGATTTGCTTACAAGATCGTTACATCTGATTTGATATTTGTTACAGCATTATTTTGCCATCTTGTAGTAATATAGATGGTTAAAGTCATTTTGACCTTGGCCCACAAATCAAGGTTCTGGGTTCATTTCTCTTTAACATTGAACAAACCATATGTTTTTGATCCTTGAGTCACTTTTATACATATTAACACAAAAGTTTACTACAGAACTTTCTATATCATAAAGATTTCATTTGAAAATTTTCTACAGCTTGATAAAAACAGAAACATTTTTAAAGATGCATGCTACCCCAACAGAAAATCTTTTCATAAGTCATTTTTCTGAAGGTGGATTTGGCTTAAATTGGGAAGCATTTAAAAAATGCTCAAGCTACTGTACAATGTATACGGTGTTACAACATTTTTTATTGAATGCCGATTTGGGATAATATTACTCTTTCATAAAACATCGCAATGTTTTGAATATAAGCAAATATACGCTGCACGTAAGTCTTTTGATGTCTGCCGAACGAGGTTAACGCATGGACATATTTAGTTTGTTTCTTATCTTAGATATTATTTGTAGTCTCTGGTGCATTAACCTGCTTTCTTAGTGGGATGTGCTCTTTATTATTTTTGTGTTGGTATTGTTTGCTTCTGATGGCGATGTCCAAAACATTTGTTTTATTTTCTATTTAGTTTTTAAATGAGATTAGAATTATTTATTTTCTTAGATGTTAGTTTATTTTTGAACAAATTTTTATGATGTACAGATTTTTTTCCTAATGAAAGATTTCATTTGTTTATCAGTTACTGGTTTTATTTTAATGTATAAAAGACAAAAGAAAAAACTGCTAATATTAGTATGATATGGTGAAGTGATATGAAATATATCATTAGGTGAAGCATGTGATATTATGACCATTACCTTATGGTGTTACTCTTAAACAATATCGTCTTATAACAGAGTTATTGTAACTATGTTACTAAAGATAGAATCGGTTATTTTAGTCAGTGTTGTATAATACTGAAGTTAGAAACATTAAGAATTTTTTTTTGTTTTTTGTTTTTTGTTTGTAGATGTTTAATATTACATGTAAAACTTGAAGCTGTTAAATATTAGTTCAGTGTTAAAAATACGGCCCTTTTAACACATTATTACAAAGTAACAGCCTTCAATCATAATTAATCTCAAACTGCTTCTTTAGATTTTAGAAATCATTTGAAATTATGTTTGTTAAATCTTTCATCTACAGATGTCTTGTCAAAGAAGATTTGTTTTTAAACATGCTATAAAAAACTCCAAAGAAAATGAAGGATTTATTTACATGTGAAGGTACTTCTCCGACACCAATTAAAGCCTGGCCTTTTTTGTATTAAGGGAATACAAATAGGAACCTTGCAAGCCAGAAAAATTACTTGGAATGACTCAAGATCTGGGATTAGTAATTACAGCATGAACATCGTCCGTACATATTCTACATTATCTTACGTGTGAAAACATAATTCCTTCATCAAGCTTTCATTTATTTCGTGATGGCAGTCCTCCATCAAATGTCAGGAGTTACAACATAGGTCTTGATTACTCAACTAGTCAGGGGAATAAATTAATTTCATTCCTTATGATCTGTCTGTGTCTCTCAATGCGTTTGCTAATTCTGAATCCCAAAACCGTTTGTTGCACATCTATATTCCCAGCTCTAGATGTGGGTGGTCTAGAATGTTAACTTTGGATGTCAGCTGAGAGTAAACCAAAGATGGGTTGTGGGGTGCTAAATATTACCATATTTTCAAATTAGCCATAACATCTAATATTGGGGCTTTTTTGTGGAAGTTTGTCACTTATACTAGAAGATATGAAAATTTAGATAGCTGTCACAATTTTTTGCATGCTGTTTTGGTAAATTGGGGGTAAAAAGTAGAGAATTTCTACTAGTGGGGTGCCATTTACAGTCAAAAGCTACAGATTGTTGAAATACATTTGTTTTTTACAGGTTGCTTTCGTTAATCTTTTTCTGAAATTGTAAGAACAATGGGGAGAAGTTTTCTGGGCAAAACTTTACCCTCAAAATATTTTGTAACAAGTAGGATAGCTACAAGATGTGTTTATTTTGGTGGTGATATTCCATTTTGGTCTCCCAGATTCATTCTTTTCTTTTGGGGTTACCAACCTCTAGCAATCAAAGCTCTGGCTGTAGTTCTTCAAAATCAAGGGTGTTAGGCTGTATTATAGGGCCCATTAGTTACAACAAGGTCTAATAATTTATATTAATATACAGCTTCCTTATATGCATTGAAAGGATATTCTGTGCTTTGTTTGAACTTCATTTGAATTGTTTTAGCTTACACAAATGATGGGTTCTGATCAGAATGGAAGTATATGGTGACTCAAGTAAATTCTGCAAAATGTATATTGCAATGTGGAACACGAAATTATCACTAATAATAGAGGATTCATGACTGAATGGCTGAGGTCAATTATGGTTATATTAAGTAAAATTAATGACCTCTTTGGCCTTTAGACATGAAAGTTGACCTCGGTGAGCTAGACAACTCCCCCAACCTATCTCTGTATGGTGGAAAGGTGGATACAGAGAGTAACAAAGCACTGGGTGAACCTTGTGACTCTATAACAGCAACACTAAAAGGGAACAAGAGAGAAACCTTTGACAAGACCAGGGGGTATGAATCCGATGTTTGTTACAACACTGTTTGCTGTTGTTTTGAAATGGATATTTTAATTACTTTTGTTTAGTTTATATTGTTAAAAAGGACTAGAAAAATATTGATAGATCAATATGTTACCTGATGGGTGCCAAGAGATTTAAATATAACCACTGTTTTATCTGTAAATGTTAAAGAGCCTGTTTCTCATCACCTAACAAATGAAATGTCCCCACATTAAATAGGTCTAACCATGCTTTGGCGTTTAATTGACAATTTATACCTGGTATTGCGGGATTGTTTTTGTTTTATTGGTATCATTTCCATGTGTTAGGATTATTCTGTAGTGATCTTGGAGATGTGTGTTTTATGTGGATGTGATCACAGTTGTAGATATACACTGTGTAACATACAGTTTGAGCCGCTCTCCCAGTCTGAAATCTGAAAGGACTTACTTGTAATGCCATCTCTGAGTTCTTAAAAACATTCAATCATCGTTCATGACTGCAATATCCAACTATTTGAGCCTCTACTGGTATCATCTTGCCCATTTCATTCCTATATCCCCTTGTATCCCTGAATCTGTCCCTTCCAACAACTCAAATATTATCAATGATCTTATTCATACAACCTCTTATAAATATATGTACATTGTCATCTAGCCTTATTCATCCCCATGTCCCCTTCTACCCTAACTTCTTTCCTTCCAAGACCTTAAACATTATTTTCATTTGGCCTTATTCATCCCCATGCCCCCTTCTACCCCAAAATTCTTTCCTTCCAAGACCTTAAACATTATTTTCATTTGGCCTTATCCATACCCATGTCCCTTTTTACACCAAAATCCTTTCCTTTCAACATTTGTGAACATTATTATCATTTGGCCTTATTCATCCCCTCGTCCCCTTGCACCCTGCCCTTTCCAGCACCCTCAGTAGTATTGTGATACCTTATTGCCTCTCAAATATTGAACTGTGATAATGTATTCTTTTGTATCCCAGTGCCTCTTCTATTTAACCCTAAATTATTGCTGCTTAAAAAGTCGAACTCTTTAATCAACACACTCCAGTGTCTGGAAAAATAAGAATAATGAAAATTTCCTGACATAATTAAGAAACAAGGGCAAAAAATTATATATATTGAGCAGAATAATCTTGTAACAGGAGATCAATTTTATATTTCTGTTTTCCTGACTGGAATGGTTACTGAGGTTTGACTTTACGTAATGTGTTGTTTTATGCAAATTAAGTGTTATTGTATGTTAGTTTTGTATATAAAATATAAACTTTGTCCTGAATATTGTTAGAGTACAAGTTCTATTTTAGTAAGAACTTTCTGTTGTAAATTCTTTTAAACAACATTTCATACAATCATTTTGATCTCTGTCAGAGCCGTTTGGTTTTTCTAGCTTACCCTGATATGTATTATAAGATGGATGTAGATCTGTGTGTAGTTTTCTAGATTTAATGTTCTGGATTTATATGTGCCAAAAAGGCATAAAAGACATGAGTGAAGAAAAATCTGATTTATGGTTGATGAAAATCTTAATTGTTAATTTATTGATGTTAACGGAGAAAATATAATGAAATTTTGCAAAAGTATAGGTATATAGTTGGTAAATAATTATAAAAACAATCTCTGTAATATTGATATGAAAATATATAAAAAAAGGCCATCATTTCTTTCATTTCTCTATGTCAAATCCACATTGGTATCACATACAGGCATTTCATTATCCAAACAATGGAAGATTACAAATCTGAAATATCCTGAATGTTATCAGCCGTGTTTCAAATACAAAAAAATCCAATTAACATCAAAAGATGATGTTATTATTTTCATTCATCATCAGAACATTTAGCTCATAATAATAGAGTTGTGGAAAGGTGTGATAAATGACCATTATTTTAATCTAAAAGTACATGACCTGGTAAAGTTGAGGAGATAGGAAAGAGAATGTGTTGAAAGGAACAAAGATCACCCCTCGTCTGTGTTTTGTCGAACAGTTCACAGGAGGAAATGTACTTTAAGATCTCTAGAGATTTCTATTTTTAATGTATGGAGAATTAAACAGGTGATATTATTCAACTGTACTGATGTGGTATAGTTTTAGCTTGATATGGAAATTTGATACTCTGTTAAAAAATTGTCTTGTTTTTAATTTCCTGTGACTTCACTGTCATTAAACCTTTGACATGGTCATCCAACTGAAGTTAGTTCTCAATAAAGGTTTATTTTATGGGTTCAGATATTTCATAAAAGAGATTTTTAAAAAGTTAAATACTGTTATCATTGGCAGGTTTAAAATTTGAAAGCATTGTTGGGTATAGGACAGTTCTAAACCAGAGCCTTTTTGTCAGAATTGTCTAAAAAGAAAGTTAGTTTAGATTTTACAAATAACCTTACAGACTAAAACAGAAAATATCTGCAATAAAACAGTCAGATTTTATGAAGTTAAACTTGAGGCAATAAATGGAATAAATTTACTTTTTTTATGCTTTACGTTTGTATTTCCAATCTGATAGATTAATTGGAAATGATAACACATTATTTTGATATCAAGCCGTTATATGTAGAGCATCATAGTTCAACATATAATGATTTACAGATTATTAAAAATTAGCAGGTATAGAGGACCAGACAACATCTGTAGGAAGAATTAAAACTGTTTAATAGTTGACATGTTTCGGCATATTAGGTATGCCGTCCTCAGAACAGAGTAATTATTCAAAATACTGGACTTATATACTATCTCTACCTAGTTACTACACATGTTATTTACAGTTGATACACAGGTTACAATGACGTAGTCTTTTAGTGACGTCATAGATGATACACAGGTTACAATGACGTAGTCTTTTAGTGACGTCATAGATGATACACAGGTTACAATGACGTAGTCTATTAGTGACGTCATAGATGATACACAGGTTACAATGGCATAGTCTATTAGTGTACAAATTATTAAAAATGTTAGATGAGTATGATGTAAGTATCA